CTGTAGTCACTAGGGTGACAGGCACATATCACCAGACCCAGCTTTTCCTGTTGAAGTGGGGTCTTGCAAACTTTTTTGCTCAGGCTAGCTTGGAAATGTGATCCTCCCTAACTAAGCCTCCAGCATAGCTTTGGATGACAGGCATGAGCCACTGTGCCCAGCTATTGATTGAGATGGGATCTTGGAAAGTATTTGCCTAGGCTGGCCTCAAATCTTGATCCTGCTGATCTCTGCCTCCCATGTTACTAGGATTATAGTCATGAGCTGGTGCCCAGCTTTTTCAGCTAATCTTTTAAAAGACAGGGGTTGCATTCTACTTAGGCAACAGAAAGCAGTTACAGTGACAATGAAATGATAAGTTTTTTTCTCACTTAACAAAAAGTCATGAGGCTGGTATAGCACCTCAGAAATGCACACAGGTTAGCTCTGTGTGTGGTCATGTCATCTTTATGATCTCAAGAAGGTCCTACCAATCTAGACATCATACCCATTTCTGTGGTTCAACCAAGAGGAAAGCAAATGGACAAAGAACCACAGGATTCTGGCAGTGGTATATGTGCCTTTTTAAATCAGGAGAGCAATAACTTTCTTGGAAGCCATACCCAGTAATTCCCTCCTACCTCTCCTTGGCCAGAACTGTGTTTTATGGCTACCTCAAGCTGAAAAGGAGTTGGAAAGTAGATTTTTTTAGCTCAGCACATCGTTTCCCACCAAAACTAGTTTTCTGCTACCAAATAACACTCTCTGTGCCCCCAGACCACCAATGAATGAGTCATTTTAAGACAAAGGTACGTGGTCTGTTCTCTAGTGGATTCTACTCAGATTAACTCAGTAGATACTTACTGAGTGGTATTCATAAACCAGATATGGTAGTTGCATGGAATGGAGTAATTAAGTTTCATATATATATATATATATATATATATATATATACACATATATGTATATATATATATGAGAGAGAGAGAAGAATGGCTTCTGCACTCAGAGCAATCACAGTCTGAATAGAGAGACAGAGAAATATGCATACAAAAATTTTAATATGGTTTAAGTATTATACATGCTCTTAGAGAAGAATTCTGGTGGCTAAAGTCTTAAGGGAAACTTTGTAGGTGGATGAAGGTACAGATTCAAAGTTAATGGTTTTCTTCTGTTTTTAAGCTCCCTGGGCATAAAATTCCCATTAAAATATGTGAGCCTGTCGTTTACCTTTCAGGCATTGAACCTTCAGCTTGGGGGATTCTGGCAGTCCCTATGTCACTGAACCTGGCAGGAGGTGGGAGGTGAACTGGTCACCTCTCACTCCTCAAGGAGTTCCACTTACCTGGGTTATTTTCTCTTTGTTTTGTTTGCTTTCTTCAGCCTTTCTTTTTCTGTCCATAAAAGCAATCTCTTCTGCTTGGCTCATTGGAATATTATTCTGTGGAATGAAGTATCGCCCAATTCTAGATTCAGAAATAAAGTTCATTAAATTGTTGCAGTTTTGTTCTTCTGATAATGCTATACTGATGTAGAGGAGAATTTTGAGGAAGGGGGGGTGGCTTACATTTGAACTCAGGGCTTTGCACTCTCCTGTTTAAACCACACCTCTAGTCCATTTTGCTCTGGTTATTTTGGAGTTGGGGGTCTTGCTAAGTATTTGCCCAGACTGCCCTTGAACCACCATCTTCTCAATCTCAGCCTCCCAAGTAGCTAGGATTACAGTCATGAGTCACTGCCACCTGGCTAGAGGAGAAATTTTTTCCTGTCTTAGGTTCTTTATCTGCGGCCCTATAAATTAGACTGGCAAAAGACAGATTAGGAAGGGAAAAGGACCTAGAAGTTTATTAGCATATGCATCACATTTACATATGGGAGATAATTGCCCCAAAGGAGTAATTAGAGTTTGGAGTTCTATATCTCTTTAGGCCCCCCAAAAAGGAAAGGGATTTAGGGATCCTTAGGGGAGGGGGGCAATTTATAGGAAGGTAACTACAAGAAGTTTGGTAAGCCTGGGTTATATAAGGTTTTGTTTCTTTGTCCATTGTTAAAAGTTAAGAAGGTGACACATAACTATAATCCCAGCTTTTCTGCAGGTAGAGGTAGGAGGTAGGAAGATTGCAGTCTTAGGCTAGCCTAGGCAAAATCACAAGACCCTATCTGAAAAACAAACTGAAAGCAAAATTACTGAGGGTATAACACAAGAGATAGGCCCTGAGAAGATGGATAGATAGATAGATAGATAGACAGATAAAGAGTCTTCCTCCTCTTTGTGCTGAAGTAGTAGACACATCTACAAATGAAAATTGCCTTTGCAAAAGGAAAGCTTATGTTTTTAGAACTTTTACGGAGTTTGCTGATTTTCAGTGGTATTTAGCTCAAAACAGTCTTTCAAATAAGTATATTTTGGGGTAGCACATTCTGGGATCCTTCACTAGTCTTCCAGAGTGGGGGTTATACAATGGACATTGATGACACTGTATAATCCCTTGCCTTTTTCTCTCAGAGTACCAATTGAATTTTGTGTTGCATTGTTCAGGAATGTAGGAAACTTTCCCTACACTGTCAAATTAGAAAATAGAAGCGGTTGACATAGAAAGAGTAAAATATTTTCATCATACCCAAAGAAACCTTGAACCTAGATTTCCCCTTACCCTACCCATAGCCCTAAGCCACTACCTCCATTCCTGGAGACCTGTCTTTTCTGAACGTTTCATGTAAATGATATCATATAATTCATGGCTAATAGTTCCCTAGTGTCACTATAACAGTTGACTATATGAATTTAGTATTGGAGGCAGCAGAAGCTCATTACTTCTGTTCTTTTTTGTGGTGCTGGGATTTGAACTCAGGGCTTCCCACTTGCTAGGGAGGCACTCTACTGCTTGAGCCACTCTGCCAGCCCATGTCCTCACAGTTCTGGAGGCCAGAAATCCAAAGACAAGGGGTCAGCAGTCTTTATTTCTTCTTAGGGACTCAAAGAGAGAATATGTTCCTTCTCTCTCCTATTTTTTTCCCTTTGTGTGTGTGTGTGTGTGTGTGTGTGTGTGTGTGTGTGTGTGTGTGTGTGTGGTTTTGGGGATGGAACCCAGGGTCTCATACGTGTTGTAGACAAGTTCTCTATCTTTAAGCTACATCCCTACCCAGGGATTCACTCGTTTTTATAATCAAATAATATTCCATTGTGTATGTATACCTCATCAGCATTTGATGGGCATTTGGGTTGTTTCTGCAATTTGGCTTTTATGCATAATGCTTTTCTGAAAATTCATGTATGAGATTTTGTGTGGACAGATGCTTTCACTTCTCTTGGTTAAACTGGTTTAACTTTTAAATCAATCAAGTGTGATGTACATATTTATTCCACTTTGTGGTAATGGCAGGTAGGTATTGAAATTCTAGCAGCCGTTTTGTTAGAATGATTTCTTGTTCTTTTTTTTTCCTCCCCTCTTTATTTTGCTTTATGTTTCAGTGAATTTTCAGTGATTCAGCTTTGGGTAATTATGTTTTGTGGGAAATACTTTCTTTCAATTTATTTATTAGAACTCTATTAACATCAGAAAGCTGTCTAGTCTTTTACTTAGTGGTTTGTGTGCTCCTTTGTTATAAGTAAATAGTAACATTTAACTTTTTAAATCATTTATAAAGCATTTTCTGTTTGTGGTATCATGTAACCTTGGAATCCTGTGAGAGGTGCTCTGGCTGCTGTTTTCTAGCTGCTAAATTGGTGATCCCATTGATTGCCTTTTAAAAGAGCAATTGGAGTCAGGTAGGGTGGTACATTCCTGTAATCACAGCTAGTTCAGAGGCTGAGACAGGAAGATTTTGACTTTGAGGCCAGCCTAGGCAACATAACAAGACTCTGTCAGAAAAAGAAAAAAAAAAAAACAATTAAGTAATTAATTAATACTGTGACCTAAGAGGGTGTCCTTCCCTTAATACCTCAAATCTTTTTTTTCTGGCGGGGGGTGGTGGTACTGGGATTTGAACTCAGGGCATCAGGCTTGCTAAGCAGGAATTCTACCACTTGAGTCACTCCACCAGCCCAAATCTCTTGTTTTTATGGCACTCTTTTCTCCAGCTACAGAGGAGGTGTATTAACCACCAAAATAAGCTTATTAGCCTAGGCCGGTGACTGTCAGACTGTAGCCTGCATCAGAATCACTTGGAGAGCTTGTCAAAATGCAGATTGCTAGGTTCCCCTATAAGTTTGTCCTTCCATAGGTCTGGGATGGGGCCCATGTTCCCAAGCAACGGTGATGCTTCTGATCCCAGGACCACACTTTGAGACTGGCAAGTGTAGACAACTATACATATCCTTGAGTGTTGTTCAACTGAAAATTCTCAAAATTTAGTGTGCATATGCATCACCTGGGGATACTTTTAAATTGTCTGATTCAGTAGGTCTGGGAAGACTTCTGAGATTTTCTAACCAGCTCTCAAGTGATATCCATGCTATTTTGAATAGCAGAGGCTGAAAGAGTAGCCATAAGCTGTCCTCTGCTTGAGTAGTTTTTTGTTTTTGTATAACTCTAATATCTCTACATTAAATAAATTTGTGAACTTTAAGCGGATAAATAAGCTATGTCCTGTAATGTGTAGTAAAAGGATGTTTTGCCAAAAATATGGTTATTTTGAAAGACAAAACCAGTGACCAGATGATTCAAATTATACCTAAAGATTAAGTGGTTCAGACTTTAAACTATAATATTTGGAGTAATTTAAAATTTTCTAATGTGATTTTGTAATTGTATGATTCCAGGTTCTAAAATACATGTTTCACAGGTTCTGTGATTGAACACAGTATTTCCTCATATGGATTCTAAATTCATACTTTTCAATTAATGGAGTTACTTTTTGTTTTTCCTTTTCTTGACTTCTGGGCAAATCAATAGAGAATTAATTATACCAACATCAGGGCCTTATTGTTCTGTGTATTTTATACTTTTTACCTAGAAAGATTATTGCTTTATGAAAACAAACATTCCATAAAACTAATTTTTCATTGTTTTTCTTGGCAGATCACTTACAACCTTGGGGCTGGTGATATCGTCACTGGCTGACCAGGCAGCTGGCAAGGGTAGAAACAAATTTGTGCCTTATCGAGATTCAGTCCTCACTTGGCTTCTTAAGGTAATTCATTGCTCTAGTGTTCTTTTCCAACTAAAACTCGTTCTTCCAGATGTAACAGGTGAATGATGTGTGTGCATAGCTAAACAAACACACAAAGAACTCTCCTGATCACACTGTTATCCTAATTCCTAATAATGGCAGAATGAGCACTATTTTCTATTGCATTTTATCTCATTATAATGTTGTTTGGCAGGCATTATTCATTGCTGTGAATGTAGAGGCCACATTTCTTCTTGTCATAGAATTTTTTTTTAAATGCAAACAAATTTCCACCGAGCATTTTCTTCATTGAGAACAGTGTCCCATGTGCATATTACTGCTTTCATCAAATGTGCCGTGCATAAAATGGGCTCACTCAACACGCTATTTGAAATACTTTACAGGACAATTTGGGGGGCAACAGCCAGACATCAATGATAGCCACCATTAGCCCAGCAGCAGACAACTATGAGGAGACCCTCTCCACATTGAGATACGCAGATCGAGCTAAGAGGATCGTGAACCATGCTATCGTGAATGAGGACCCCAACGCCAAAGTCATCCGAGAACTGCGGGAGGAAGTGGAGAAACTGAGAGAACAGCTCTCACAGGCTGAGGTAAAGTCAGCTTGGTACTCCCCGTTTTTGAAGTTCATTGACTTGTGTATCTGACAGGTGAGGGCACGGTTGTTTGCAATTCCAGGTCATCTCTGTATGATTCAACATTTCCACATTTATTGGCATTGCTCTACGCTAATGAGCATCGTGAAGGCCGGCATGAGTAATACAAGACTTCTGTCCTAGCAACATGTAGACAAGAAGGCAAACAAGGCTACTACTTAATTGCTTGCTTCAGTAAATCAGTAGACCTTTGAACTTCCAGTGTGAGGTCCTAAGAACCAAGTGTGGTGCTCTCATTAAGATTATGGACAGGGCTGGTGAAATGACTCAAGCAGGAAGAGCACCTGCCTAGCAAGTGTGAGGCCCTAAGTTCAAACCCCAGTGCCACTGAAAACAAAAAGAATAGTGAGATTATAGACAGTGTTTCTTCAGAGCATTGCAATTTTCATAAAAATTTAGCATCATATCCTTGTTAAGTCATGAGATACTGTAATCATAGATAATTAAATACTAGGAATAATTCCAAAATTTTCTTACAGCCTCGGTAAGGTTACAAAATCAATATTATTGATCATTATGATTATTTATAATCATTACAATTATGATTATTGTATCAGCCTCTGGCAGGTTACAAAATCAATATTATTGCATTGTTGCATCATTCCTTGGCCTTCCTCCCACTTTTGTTATTTTTCTTCATTTCTTTTTTCTCCAACTTTAATAACCACACTTAATTCTTCCAAGTAGGTGCTGCTTTTTACAGATTGCTGTCTCATCTGAAATAGGTATAGAGATGGAGGCCAAGTGCCTTAACTAAAGTCACATGCTTCCTCATGCCAGGACTTGGGTGTAGACCTGATATTTCTAAGTTCATATCTCTCCCTATCACACTCTCTGACCCCACTTTAATGTGAAGGCAGGAGCAGGTAATAGCCATCATTTATTGAATATTTATATGCCAGCTGCTCTTCAAATACTCTTTACCAGCATTATATAATCAAAAAGTAGCCAGCAGGAGACAAACAGAATGGTGATCTTGCATTATAACTATTTGTTTTCATGTCTTTGTCTTCTTCCAGACTGTGGGTCTGAAAGTGCAGGAAGCCATGTTTTATTTTTTCATTCCTAACCTCTAGCCCAACACTAATAATGGAAAGCACTTAGCACAATACCTTATACATAATAAGTGTTCAAGAAATATTGTTAGTTTTTGTCTTATCATAAAGCCTAAAGCTTTATTGATGCCAACAAGGGTTATAAAACATCAGAAAAATCAAAATGATAAAATTTGAAATGAGTTGTGATCCTAAGAGGAAAGTGCAGTGGTTCTCAAATTTGTTTACAATCCACTTTCTTCCTCAAGTTTCTGAATTGGCATTTCTACTTTGACCATATTATCCAAACCAGATGGCTAAAGCAGTACCTGGTTAAAAGAAAGAGAAGAGGAGCCACATGGGTCCACATAGAATTTCCATGTGCTTCCACCTGTGTCCAACTTTAAAAGTCACTCAAGCTCTGTTAATACCATGCTAGCTAGCTTGGTACTCAAGCTAGCTTCTAGGTCGTCACCACTCCGACTTCTACTCTAAGCTCTACCATCTTCCTTTCTCATAGGCTTTACTCTTTAGAGGCTCATGATACCATAGAGTATCAAAGCAAATCATTGTCAAGTAAAGCCCACTTCAGTTTTTTAAAGCCACACATAGTATATTTAGACCTCCTAGTTATTCCTACAGCACAAACTCAGAGAGAGACTACCACTCCTTTACTCAGATTGTCTTCTTCCCCGTGATTGATAAATACACCAAATGTGTTATCATCTTTGGAGATAAGTTGTTTTAAGGACCCAGATTCTAATTTTAAAATAAATAAGAAGAATCTTCACCTTCCCTAGTAGGTTAATATAAATAGAGTATGTTTATTGGTGGTATGTGTTGATTTCTGTCAAAAAAATGCTTAGGTAACACCTTCTTCTACTTTGATATTTCCATGATGAACTATAGCATCTTTTAGGTCTTCAAGTGTAAAATTTAATGATGATGGATAAAATGACTGTGTTACGATTTGTCTCGTTTTCACCCAGGGCACTGGTATTTCTTTTTTCTCCTTGAGATAGGAGCACCCATGTCCTTTTACATTTCATTTGACACCCTGGCAGTGTGTGACTTAATTGCTTCCAGTACTTTTAACACTTGCTTAAGAAGTATATAAGGACACCATTATATATGTGGCAGATGCAATGCTGAATGAAAGTTTGAAAGTCAGTTGTCTCTATTTCCCTTTCAAGGCCATGAAGGCCCCTGAACTGAAGGAGAAGCTTGAAGAATCTGAAAAGCTGATAAAAGAACTAACAGTTACATGGGAAGAGAAGCTGAGGAAAACAGAAGAGATCGCACAGGTATCCTGATAACTTAGGCCCAAAACCCCATGATTCTCCTCCATTTGCTCTTTTCTCTATAGCCATGTAGTCGTGCTCAAACACTCCTCAGGGTCTCTCTCTCTGCAAAGATCAGTTTTACTCACTGACTTTGTGTCTTTCATCAATTTACAGTTTGGTGCATGTGTTGCCTGAAGGGTTAGAGAGTGCTACCTTTGAATAGGCAAAGTTATAGGAAATAACCTTTCATATGTCCTGCTCTTCTCATTTCAAACAAAAGTCCATTTTGTGAATTTTAGAGCACCGTCTCCCACTGCTAAAATCACCCACTGTGCCCGAAGTCCATCTTATGCTTCCCTATGCCCACCAGACCTGTCTTGCTACTTATTCACTTCTTTCTGTTGAAATTCTAATGCTTCAAGAATTATCCCAAGCATACTTCCTTCATACAGTCTTTCTTGGCCTCTTAACCTATCATGATCATCTATCTTTGAAGCCCTGTAACTCTTTGTATTCTTCCATGGCACAGTGCTCTCCTTGTTTTGGAGTCTAGCTATGTGGTTGTCCCTTCTACTAGACTTTTAACTTCTTAAGGGCTGAGATGATATGTGGCTCACCCTTGGTTCCTCTGTGACATGTCATAACATGTCACACACTGCAGGCTCTCAGTAAACTTGGTTGAACTGAATAGAATGTGTCATCTCATTGTCATTGTCCACAGAAAACAGTGACTTACTCTTTCCATGGATACGGTTTCTGAATAGAGCAACAAATAGATTTTCCTGCTTTTGCCTATTTTTCTGCCCAGGAGAGACAACGACAGCTTGAAAGCATGGGGATTTCCCTGGAGACATCTGGTATCAAGGTGGGGGATGACAAGTGCTACTTAGTCAATCTGAATGCAGACCCTGCTCTCAATGAACTTCTGGTTTATTATTTAAAGGTGAGAGAATATATAAGTAAACAGCTGCAGTCCTGAATCATTCACACATAGGTCTCAGCTGAACCTGGTTGCTGATCTCTGTGATTTTGCTTTTTATATACAGCTTAATTCTTAGTAAAAGTAGGACAATGGATAATATAGCCCTTCACCATTGGCAATGAAAAACAACTCTTTTGCTTAACCTGAGGTGGGCAGTTGGGGCTGATTTCCTGTGAATATAGGCTTCAGAAAGAAGCAAGTGGCAACTGAAGGTGTCCAGGTGATCCCTACATGTATGAGAAGGCTCCAAATGTGAGGTGACAAGGAGTCTGAGAATATCTGGGTCCAGCCAGCAATGATCCTGAGAACTTTGGGAGTTCCCAGTTGTGCATCGAAGTTGTGCTTCTGAGTAATTCTAAGGAGATCTCAAAATCCACATGCCTCCAAAGAAACCCATGTGGTAGATTAGACAGCCTAGCTCTTCCAAGTCTGTCCTTGGGAAAGAACAGAGTGGCCTCTTAGAGTTGGTACTTTGGCTTTGGTATACTGACCTGGTTAGATTGGTTACTTCAGCAGATCTCAGACTTTCTGACTTTAGACCCTACTCTTGAAAAGTACTAAGGATTCCAAACAACTATTGTGTACCTTGGTTATATCTATCTATGTTTATCATATTAGTCAGTAAGACTGAGGACATTTTAAAATACAAATTAGTCTTCAGAGCTACAATATCATATATTAAGTAACATCAAGAAAAACTCCACTGTACATATATGATAACATGAAAGAACGGAGGCAAATGGCATTTAATGTTTTTATTAATGTAGTTTTGACTTCATGGGCCTCTCTAAATGTTCTCAGATATGCCAGGGGTTCTCTAGCAAAGCTTTTAGAACTGCTGGGTAATTTTATTCAGTAAATAATAAGACATCTCAAACAGGACACCTGATTGACATTGACATAGAGCACACCAACTAACAATGTCAGTCAAGTGTCTTGATCAACTGATCATCAGGATATCTTTAATCTCAAACTCTCTCTCTTTCTCTCTGTCTATCACATACATACACACACACATACACACAAACACACATAAATATATGTGGTCATATTGAAATATTTGTCAGGGATTGGGAACCTGGGGCCTTGAAGGCAGTTCACGTACTTTGTTCATACACCTAGCTCTCACAATGTAAAGGAATTATCTACTTATGAAAGGTTAGATAGACACCTTGTTAAAAATTCTGATCTCCTTAAGGAAAGTATAATATGCATTGGATAATAAAGTAGAATCAAAGCAGGGAGTCTCAAGATCTTCTAATATCTCTTTTTCCTTCTACTTTTTTCAGAGATATGAATATGATACAAATAGCCCCCAACTTACTGAGAGTCCACCAACCAACTTAAGATCTGTTTATTTAGGAAATGATTATACAGGGGAAAGAATGGTTTCTGAAATCTTAATTTTGAAAGACTACATATTACATTTTCTCTGTTGCATAGGGAAGTATTATCATAGTGATTAAATAATTTGTAAAGCAGTGGAAATAATTGCTTGATAAATGAACAGGGGTGAACAGAACCTAAATCGGCAATAGTTGGGATCCTTTCTGTGTCTTAAGATTCAAAGTACTTAAAATTACACTAATATGCATATCATATAACCAAAGATTTCAGTACTCTATGGAATATTTGAATTTTTTAAATTTAATTTTGAATTATACATTAATATGAGGGGATTTCATTGCATTAATTCTATACATGTGTATAGTATACCTGAATCAAGTTCACCCCCTCCATTATATTTCCATTCTCCCTTCTGTGAAATTTTCATATGAGAAACACAACTACTTTTAACAGTTTAGGTGTTACAATAATTATAAGGGATGGGAGTATAGCTCAGTGATAAAACATGTGCTTAACAGATACCTTAAAGCAACTGAGGCCAATAGGAAAAGGGGACCAGGAACTAGAGAAAAGGTTAGATCAAAAAGAATTAACCTAGAAGGTAACACCCACGCACAGGAAATCAATGTGAGTCAATGCCCTGTATAGCTATCCTTATCTCAACCAGCAAAAACCCTTGTTCCTTCCTATTATTGCTTATACTCTCTCTACAACAAAATTAGAAATAAGGGCAAAATAGTTTCTGCTGGGTATTAAGAGGGGGAGGGGGGGAGAGGAGGGGGGGAAGTGGGTGGTAAGGGAGGGGGTGGGGGCAGGGGGGAGAAATGAACCAAGCCTTGTATGCACATATGAATAATAAAAGAAAAATGAAAAAAAAAAAACAAAAAACATGTGCTTAACGTTCATGAAGCCCTGGGTTCAATTCCCAGTCCCAAAAGGCAAGTAGGTAGGTAGATGCTTTTTAGTGGTTCTTAAATTCATATAACTATTTTTAAAAACATTTTCACTGTTAATTGAATTGAAAAGAATTCTGTCAAGTCAATCAAATAGGTAATATTGCACTGGTCTTGTGAAAAAAAGAAAAGCAAAAGAAACAGGCTCTGAAAAAGAAATAGCTTCCTTATTGTCACTTAAATAGTAAAGTCAGAATTGGAGCTCAGGGTATTTTTCTGTCAATTCCAGTTTCTTTATGTTTTAAAAGAATATCTAATCACTGTTGATCAGGTTTTTTTGTTTTTTTCCATAGTGTTTGAACATTTTTGAAAAATTGAGTGTGTGCTCCAGATTTCTAGCACAGTTCATTTCGTATTGTCATGTGCATCCTGCTGGACTGTTCAAATTGTTAGTGATAAATTTTTGTTGAGTTACTTGTAAGTGAGGGTTTTTCTTTTCTTTTAAAATGTATTACTAGGATCATACGCGGGTGGGTGCAGATACCTCTCAGGATATCCAGCTCTTTGGTATAGGAATTCAGCCTGAGCACTGTGAGATTGATATTGCATCTGATGGAGATGTCACTCTTACTCCAAAAGAAAATGCGAGGTAAGAGAAGTAAATGGAGATCTTGTGTGTCTTGTATGCCTTATTTTCAGATGGAGAACCCTGCCTTTCTGTTTGTTTGCTTCAGTTTTATTGAAGTTACAGATACATTGGGGCTCCAGGAAGGTTTTCTTTCCACTTATAGATTATAGGAGCACTAGCTCTATTATTATTAATAGAACCTGAGTCACCAGAGCTGAAATATTGCTATGAAGAAGTGATTGATTACTTTCACATGTGAGTTCCAGTGCTACTTATTTCATCCTCTGAACTTTAGAATCCTATGGAGAGCAAGACTCAGATAATGAAATTGTAAGAGAAAAGAAAAATTAGAACTCAATAAAGCCCATTATTTTTCTCCATTAAACTTCACCTGACAGTCCTTTAGCAAACTTATCTGTAATTAACTATCTCTCCCTGCAATATTTTGTTTCTGAATTACCTATGAAACTTTTTTAAAATGAGATATTCCTTGAATATGTGTTTCTGATTTTGCACATTTTGACAAACTATTCCTCTCCATCAGAAGCACATCATGTCAGATTGTTGCTCTTTGAGGTTTGTTGACAGCCATTGATCATCATTGCTTAGACTGTGTTGCCATAGTACTTATAAGTTCAGTTTTTCCTTCTTCAGATATCAGTAGGAATACATATATTATGAGAAAGTTGCCCCATTTATCTCTTTGAGTAATAGGGCTGGGTTTTGTGCTTTCTCATTTACCTGATGTCTTACCTTGTGTCCCCTCAGGTCCTGTGTAAATGGCACCCTTGTGTGCAGTACCACCCAGCTATGGCACGGTGATAGAATACTATGGGGAAATAACCACTTTTTTAGGTAACATCTTTGTGTTCTCTAGTATTTTCATACATTTTTTTTCTGTCACCTATGTAAGTGCAAAACAAGTTGATTTTCTCTAATGGTGAAAAACCATACAGAATTAATTTACCTAAGAGGAAACGAAGAGATTGGTTGAGAGACTTTGAAAAAGAAACAAGTCCGGCAGAGCATGACATGGATGCAGCCAGTGAGGCTTCCTCAGAACCAGACTATAACTATGAATTTGCACAAATGGAAGTTATCATGAAAACGCTGAATAGTAATGGTAAGACCCTCACTCTGAATTGCAGCATCTTGGGCATTCTTCATTTCATGTCATTCAGTGTGGGTTAAAGTGTCATTCTGGAGTTTAGACGCATAAAACTGCTAATTTCTTACAAGGCCACTGGTGAGCGGTTAACAAAAAGATTGGAGGAGATGGTCATCCCCCTGAGGAGTAACCAGAAAGTGGATGTTCCCTTTCTTGTGACCTCCTGTTCTCAGACTGATAGTCATAGCATTTCTGTGGTCGTAGATTACTTATTGAATGATTTTGACAGATTTTTCTTACCATATTTCCCATTACTGAGCCAGTCATTTGTGAATCCTTGAAAGTATGAAAATCCCCAAGAAAATATGAATCTAGAAATTTCATATAGAATCTAATGGGGAGATAAAAGTTATAACATTTTGCTGTAAACTCAATTAGAAATTAGATCCCCAAGGAGACTTACTTAGTAAATAAGTCTCTTAGATTAAAAAATAAAAGATCTCTTTGATAAAAGCAAGAGTTGTTTAACTCTTGCTTTCGTTTAGCAGTGACCAAAATACTTGAGAGAACAACTTAAAGGAAGAAGGACTTATTTTGGTTCATGGATTCAAAGGGTTCAGTCCATGGTTGTTCTTATGTACTTGGGCAGAACATCATGGTGGCAGGAGTGTATGGCAGAGGAGGTCTTTCACCTCATGGTGGATAGGAAGCAGAGTGGGGGAGGGGGCAAGGCAAGGACCAGGTATAACTCTCAAAGGTACACCCCCAGTGACCAACTTCCTCCAGCTAGACCCTACTTCCTAAAGTTTCTGCCATCTCCACCAAATAGTGCCACCATCTGGGGACTGAGCATTCAACACATAAACCTAATAAACCACATAAACCTGTGGGGTCCATTTCATATTCAGACTATAATAGTAAAAATTAAATGCTTGGTGTGCTTTTTGACTGACCTGCACCCCAGTCTGTCCCTGATCTCTGACCAAGAGATTCTCCTTAAATCGTGGTTTCTGGATCTCTTCCCAGATTTTCAACGTTTGTATTAAAAGTTCTTCCTGTGTCTAAAAGTCCATGTTACTTTACATTTTCTGTCTTCCTCTGTGCTTATACAAACACCTGTGTACATGCAGTGAAACATATACCAAACTTCTCCCTTGCCTGTTCTTTCATAAATTCTAATTCTTTGTTCCTTGGATCTAAAATCCAGACAGGAAAATTTCCCTGTTACTAGATACAAGCAGATTTCTGGGACTAGAGCTATTTTCCAAGGATAAAGTTTAGGCCACAATCAGGACACCTGAAAAAATGATCTTATAGACCTAATCCAAGCTCACTTTATCCCCCATCTGTCCCTGGAGCATTGAAGCATTCCCATCTTGAATCAGGGAAGACCCCAGAACCCTGAGGGCCTGAGACAGGCAGCCTGTACCTGACAGAGTGCTTGGAGAGCATTTTATTTTTCACAGCTGAACTCTTCCCTTCAACAGTGACTTTCACATTCTGTTCATTGAGTAAGCCTATCTGGGAGAAATTTGAGCATGGCTAGAGAATTTGTCAGTCAGATCTCTGTCATATGAAATTAGGGATTCTAAAGATTTTGACCTTTTTATTCATCTCTCTTTATGGACTTTTAGCATTGGGGACCCTTTTTTAAATTATAAAAATGAAGTATAAAGACCAGACTGTGAAAAGCAAGTGTAATATATTTTTAATAAAGAGTATAGGACCATATACACATAAAAAAAACTTTACTAAAGAAGTTTGGTCATTTCCCTCTAAAAATGTTAAGACTAGGGTATTTAGCCATCAGGGCTCTTGACAGTGCATTGAAGGGTGAACCTTTACTGTAAATCAAGCTTTAGTCCACTCCCACTTGCCCATCAGTTGGGAGGAATCCCAAAGACATTCCAAAGTGATGCTCAGTCTTCAGAATCACATTAATGGGTCACTTAATAACATGCCTGGGCAAGAAGTCTCCTGTACATGGCTTTTTAGAAGCCCAAGTGTATACATGTTGTGACAGGACAGCGTGGGCTCCAAAGTCCAGGTGGAGGAAGGCCATTTGGAGAGAGTTCATTTCATCAGAAGAGGTAATAGAATTCCAGATGTCTGTATTCTTTACCTCTGCAAAGTACCCAGGGGTTATCAGTCTTAATACTTTACCTATCCCAGATCACTGATTTCACTTTATTCAGTTCATATCACATATATGTGAAGCCCCTGAGGAACCAGTGAGCATTTAGTAAGCATTTATTAAAATTCCTCCAGTCCTCTTGCCCAACCTTATTGGAGTCATCTGTGACCTGGCTCTTGGTATTAACAAAAGTTACTCATTTGCCTCCCAGATCAGACTGTACTCTCTGCTGGTTATGTAAAAGTGTATGTAAAAGTAATTTTACCCTCCCATCCTTCCCCAGTTCCACTGGTAAATGGAGCTCCTGTCTGGGGCACAAACCTACTCTGAGGTGCTGGGGTGCTGGTGGCTGGCAGCATTCACAACATTCACCTCTCCTGCTAGGTGGCTTCCCCATAGTGAGCCTGTCTGCCTGGTGGTCATCCCCTTGGTGGTCCTATTTGAAGATTCTTTTCCCTCTCATGTGGTTTCAGACGAAGCTCCTCCACAAACACTGGGACAAAGGTTTTAAACTGGCATTAGCATGAGAGAGCTTGGCTGGTTTTTAGCAGAGCTGCTGATTGATGCTTATACTACATGCTTTGGCAAAGTCTAACCAAAATAATTGGGATGGAGCAGAAGTTTCCAGCCTGACAGAGATGCTCTATATTCTTGTTTGATCAGTGTTCCTTTTCAGTTTTGACACTTCCTCCATGTTCCAATCTTGTTGCCTTCCCAGTGGTTAAAATCTGGTAGCTGTCCTTTCCCCTGTGCATCCAGCAGCACTGAAAAGCATTATTGGCATTATTGCTGCTATCATTGGTGGCTTTATTGCTGTTGAGATCATCACAGTTCAGGGCAGTAGTACTTCCAGGTAACTATTGCCTCTATTCTTCCAGTAATAACCTAAAATGATATATTTTGAGTCTCTAGAGTAAATACTGATCTAAAATCCAATTTATTTGAATTTAAAGTAAAAGAAAACCTAGTATCTATGAACAATAAAGCCTTCTTCACAACGGTTCAAAATACGAATTAAACACTAATCTCTTCTCCCAGTTTCAGTGGTAGCTAGCGCTAAAGGAAAGAGCAATTAGGGACTGGCAAAGGTCTTGAAGCCAATTTATTCCATCTAAGATTAAAAGGTTCTTTTTTTTTTTCCCCTGAAGATCTCCTTCCCTTTCAGGTGCTTTGGGCATCCTGATGTAAATTAATGCTAATGCTTTCTCACATAAATTTCCTCC